TTTTCCTTGGCCGCACATGCCTGACTGCACTTCAATCAAAATCAAATATTACACCCGGACTATGGATCAAGGAGCATGCATATAGGACTCGTGCAAATGTGCATTTTCTTCTGCCGCTGGCTTTTGTTGTGGACCAGCACCAGACCCAGACCTAGACCCAGACCTAAACCCAGACCAGGCAGACCTGGCCATGGCTTGATTACGCACGTTTATTACTGAAGATATAACACGAATCGGAATGGGAATAGCAACAGGAACACGGACGGGAAGAGCAATAGGAATCATCATCAGTATGCGTTGTATGGCCTCAAGGTGTACAACATGATTACTTGCAAATCACGAGAATGTGATTGGGCCACACACACTAACCAACGCAGGAGTGTACGATGAGAGGGGGGGACAGGTATCTAGACGAGCTGCATTGCATTATGATATTTTCGATTAGGGAAGATAATTCAGAAAGAGTCTTGGCCGGAATGGCTATGATTACGTGGATTGTACGAGTGTTTGATGGTTGCTGTTAGCTGGTTGTGTTGATAGGCCTGGGGCGGGTGCAACAAGTTAGTTGTTTGGTTGCACGAGAATGACTGTCTGTATTATTTATTTCTAATTAAAATTTGAACCGGTCGCGCCGTTTGTTCATGAATATTAATTTGGTTTTTAAGGCCGCCAACAATGGAAAACTAAACATGAATTACAACTAAATATTTATAACTCATTTTCACACACACACACACATACACACACACACAAATACATATGTAAATAATTGACCAAAAACACATACACGAAGAGTTAAGTAAAATTTAAACTGGTATGTGTGTGTGTGTGGCGCGTGAAAATACACAAAATTAACTTGTATTTAAAATTTAATTAAAACTTTTGCTGTTATTTACATGTACCGCTGCGGCATAGTCACACCTCCTGCTACCAGCCCAACCCCACCCCCTCCATGGCCACTCCATCCGACCGCTCTTTTCAATGGCTTCACCAGCAGAGGGCCCCAAAAAGTAGGCAACGCTTTTTGTATATCAGTTGTGCTACTGCCCCTGTCGCCCCGCTGCACCCGCTGTGCGTCGTGGCAGGAGGCAACAGCTAAAACTTTGCCAAAATCCATAATGCATTACATACGCCCGGCCCTGGGCAATGGTTCTGCATAAATATAAACGAGTGTATCCGTACACGAGTATAATTGAAATATCGCGAACAGTTTTTGGTTTATCGCATCGGGAACGACAATACAGCAAAACAACGAAAATAGTTAAACCAGGGTCCCGGCCAGTGGCATGGGGCGGGCTCTCGGCCATGGCTAACTGGATGTTGCGGTTACAACGTTTAGCATAATTAGTCCTTCTGACCGCATTTCGTAAAATGCGGTTCAGGCCTTAATTTTACGCCCAGCTCCAGGAATCACACTCACCCCATGCGCAGCATCCACATAAACAATGGCCGCCGAATCGGCGGCAGTTGAAAAAACGCAGTTAAGTGTGGGTGTCATGGAGAACGCTGGCCATCACTCATACACAAATATTAGGGGTGCAAAAATCGCGCATTCACGATAGAGCAGAACAGAAGGGGCACTAGAGTTAGGGATCGTGTTCTTAGACTGTCAGTCAGACAGCTTTAGTGCATAAATCGCTTTAAAAAAGTTTATCTGGTGCCTAGTGACTAACTTTGTGCTAATGACTGGGTGCTAATGAACGCTTGTTATATGGAAAACGATTCTGTGGGGATTCTGCTGATACCCACACTTTTTTTTTGGATAATTCGTACGCCACTTGCTACCCGGCAGCTGCAAACTTCGGGCCAACCACTCGACTGACCACCGGCCGACAGGACCCTCATCCTGCTAGTCCCTCCCTGCGCTGAATGCGGGGACCAATTTCAATTTATGGTAAATTAATTTGTAATTAATTTTTATGCGAAACGAATGAATTCCTATTACCTTATGGCAGGGGTGGGCGGAGCGTATCGGACAAGAGCAACAATTCCATTTGTGTTTTTATTTCCATTTTACGCTAGTTTAGTTTCAATTGCGTCCAATTAAACATGCGGCCAGTGGCCCACAACCACAACCACCACCACCACCCCAATCCACACCAACTAAACCCACTGTTTCCGATTGCCTGGTAACATTCAACATCAAATTTTACATCCCCTCTAGCCCCCACCATGCAACCAAGCAACCTCATCTCCATTCCGATTTAGATTGCCATTGCCATTCCCATTCCAGTCGCACTCGCATGGAAATCCTGAGCTGTGTGAATCCTCTGCGTGTAGCACGCGTTTTGTGTTTTTCGGAAATTGAAATTGCATATTTAAACAGGCCCATTCCCACTGTGTCCGTGGACCCCACTGTGCCGTCATCGTGGCAGCAAACGGAAATAAAATCATTTCTTCGTTGTTGCCACATTTCTAAGCACTTGACTGCGTAACGCACCCGCTGTTATAATTATTATTGCGCCCTGGCCGAGAGCCTGAACTTCCAATTAATGCTCGGCTCGAATGCATTTTGAACTTTTGTTCACCCCTCAGCCAATACCAAAGGCTTTGTGGAAGGATTTATTTCGATGAGCAGATTAACAGAGTATTGCATGCAATACCCTGCAAGTACTGCCTGAGTTCCAGAAGCCATACTTCAAATATCAAAGGTATCTCCAGGACATCTTTGTGCCCCAAACTCTCATCCTTCGCTCGTCGCTTGCTAAGAATTTCAAATTTCATTGGCACTGAATGCTCCTGTGATTAGGTGAAACCGGATATTGAAACAGAACCAGAACCAGAACCAGAACAAGACCCAGAGGGCAGTTTGATTAGCTTTAAGGAAGTGGAAGCCAGATACTTACCCAACAATAACCCAGCACCCCCTTCAGCCACAAATGAAAAGATTCAGTGTGTTTTCGGTTTTTCTTTTTCTCATATAATACTTTTCGTTTTTCATTTATTAGTTTTGCATTCTTCAGTTTCGTTTTTGGGGGAAACAACATTCCGTTTCGTATCTGTTTCGTTTTGCTTCTCTCAAGCCTTGCTCAATTGTTATTTTCCTGCACTATGCTTGCTAATTCTTGCATTTATAGTTACACATATGTATGTATATATATATGGTTTGTATAGTTTATATATATATACTATATAGTTCTGAATTTTGTTACGGCAACACAATAGTAACTTACAGTCATAGCAAAGTGTTTCCGAGTTGAGGAATTTGTTTCTCTGTTTCGTTCTCTGTTTTAGCTTTTATACAAATAGTTAATGTTCTACACATAATTGGGGATTGGTAATTGGGAATTGGGGATTGGAGCCTAGTAAGATAGTTACTTAGTTGGTTTTGCTTGGCTGGCCCAAAGGAAATATAATAATTGCACATTAATTGTCTGCTCGACAGCTGCGAATGTGGGAATTGAACGGATCCGATACACGATATTTACTCCTTTATATATACGTATACATAAATACTATATATCGTCGTGTCTTTATATATTACAAACTCAGGTCGTGCTAACTGCTAAACGCTATTCAGTAACTTAGGTTCTACACTATCCGTAATACTTGTCTCTACAGCACTTTGCAACAACGTTGTTTGCCCAAAACTTTTGCACACTCAGACGTTAAAAAAAAATTACCAAAAAAATTCATTTATTTTATTTGTTTCGGTACGAGTATTCGCATCTAACTTTACTTGAATTTGATTTTTGTTAGCCACTTTGCTAGTTAATCCATTAATCCATTAGTTAGTTTAGTTAGTTACATAGTTCTAATGCTTGCATTCTAGAATTAGTTATGTTTTGTAGCCCATTCGCTTTGTGTATACTCCATGACTAGATATATGTATGTATGTATGTATGTATGTGTGTATGGGGATGTGAAGGAAAGAGATGTCCTGCCATATCATCGTCAAAGCCGTTTATACTGTGTGTTTTTTTAAATGCTTTTGGTAGGGAGTTTGATTTTTTTTTTTCGTGGTCTGTGTGGAAGGGAAAGCGGTCTATAGACTTATAGTGGCTGCTGGCTTACATATCGTAGTTATATATATATATATATATATATATAGCTATCATATATGGTGTGTGAACGATGTGCCCATCCTAACCGAATTTCGCTTTCAACTTCCTGGCTGCATTGCATTTAGTTTCCTTAGTTCTCCGTCATCCATGTCTGTATAACACATACTACATATGTATATAGTATAGATATATATGTATGTATATATATAGAGAGAGAGTTGTATATAGGCATTTATATTTATATATATGTTTGCCTGTGAGTATATATATACCTTTGCTATTTTTATATTTATATGAATATTTACTTTTGTTAATTTCTGTTGCCATTTGTTATACTTTCTCTCCATTCGTTCTTCTCTTTCGTTTTCGTTTTCGTTTTCGATTTGTTTGTTAGTTATTGTCCACCCATCCAGTTTACGGAAATTCTCCTATTTTGTTCATTTTTATATATTGTTTCTCTTATTTGTTACTTGTTGTTGTAGCCGTTGTTGCATACCATAACAAAAGATGTGTAATACAAAACAATTGTAAGTCGCAAATAATTATTGCATTCAGAAACGCATTGAATCGAAAATATTCAAATGAGCTCGGATTAAATCTAAGCCTTTAAGCCTGAACCGAATCGAAAAAAAAGCAAAGGTACCACCTAACAGATCAACCAAATCAATGGTCCAAAGTTTGCTTGATTTCCCTCAAACATCGAATATTTAATTGTTCTATTACAGGATATATCACTTTTCTTTGGAGGACTTTGGAGGAATTTTAATCCGGGATTCCTCTGCATTAAAGGAATATGAATTTTTACAGCCACCATGCCCACCGCAATTCTCATTAAATTCCTGCCTGGACAATAATTGTTTCACCACTTACGCAAAACTATGAAATCAAAATATTCTGCATATTTTCTATGCGTTTGTGTGTGGCTTGTTTTGTTTTTTGTGGCATTAGGATTTTGCATTAAAATTCCTCTATTTTTTTTCTCTTTTGCATGCAACAATTTCGTAGCTGATACTTGCAGAATTCAAGGGATATATTCTAATCTTGCTAATGTGTGGGGAAAGAAACAGAAAAATACAAAAAAATAGTTTTGAAAGGCTTTAGAGTAGTAGATCATTTAGGTTATGGAAGCCAAAGTCTACTTTTCGCCATTGCAAAGAAATGCATGCCATCTGTTTACCCTTTGAGAACCTAAGTACCGGGTATTACATAGTCGAGGCACTTAATTGTAGCGTTCTTACGAGTAGTTGTTATTTTTGCTGCAAGCATTTGTTACCTAAATTCATGTTTAATGTTGTTGCTACTGCTGTTTCGGCGGCTGTTTTGCTATTAATAATAATGCAATAAATAATATACAGTTTCGTGCTGTTGCTGCTGCTTTTGTTGTGGTAATATTGCAGGCCAAACGAATCCCGAGTTCGTGTTAAAAACATGAATATGAAAATTGAATGCGACATAAAAACTGCAAAGTGACCCGCTGACCGCCTCGGTCACTGGCTGCAGTTGGAGCCCTTCCTGCTGTCAATATATGTAGTTGCCATTGCTGTAGCATTATTCACCACATATAATATTAATAATAATAGCAACGATATTAATTGCTTTTCGCAGTCTTCCACGTACGGTTGTCAACGTATCAAGAGTCCCGTGTCTGGTGACCAGCGATTCGCCCGATAATACATATCCTTATACATCGAGGGGCAAGCATATTGATTCTGTCAGAGAAAATACAACATTTAAGTGGAGGGGGTGCACAAAGAGGAGGAGGCTTGGAATAGAGTAGTGGTAGAATCGCACTCACCTTGTTCCGCTTAAAATCTATGTTCGTTCTTACGGTTCTATGATGTAAACTTTGCACGGGTCGCGCATTATTACCTAGTGGAGCTTTTGGAGTACTCTCGGAGCCTTGCATCAGTCGTCGGAGTTGGTATAACTGCAAGATATATATATGAGTATGTATGTATATTGTTTCGGCCGTCAGAATATCTCATTACTGTACAATCCCCCCCTTATTCACCCTCGCATCGCACAAGCAACTTAACAAATGACAATATATTTTAATGGTTTTTCTGCGGGTTTTTCGCGGGTTTTTTGTCGTTTCCCACTAATTAAAGTTGAATGAAGTGTCAAATGCTTTGCACAATTTGTCGACCGAAATTCGGATAATTATGTTTGACAACTCTATACTAATTTGTATGTCTGCAGGCTAACATTCATAGTTTTTATAGAAAACTTTTGGTGGTTTGTAGGGGCTATTCTGTAAGCAAGCTGAAAACAGATTTCTGATGAAGACCTCTTAACCTCCTGGAACCTTAAGGTTAACCATAACCTTAAACTTTATTTCCAACTTAACGATTCTTAAAATTCTTCCGATTATTAAAATACCCCTAAAGGTCCAAGCAGTTTAACTCTCTGTTTCGGTCATGGAAGTTCATAAAAATCACTTTTTAGTCGACCGTTGACTTGTTTGCGTTTCATTTGATTCCTATTTTGTTTACTCTTCTCGATGTGCTTTTTTCGACCTTTCCGCAGCCCTTGCCACGCCCTACAATCCCACCATTACACATGCATTTATGCAAATTGATTAAACTAACCAAATATTGTTTTTTAATTATGCACAGAGCGGCATATTGACCGCACTGAAACCGCGATCTGACCAATGCCCAAATTGATGAGCAATTTTATAATTGCATTTATGCGATTTCATTGTACTTCCAATCATTTAAAAAAAATCATGAGACGGACAGACAGACAGAGAGACAGAGAAAGAGAGACGGAGAGGTGGATAAAAAAAACCGATTGCACATAAATAAACCAACAATAACAATCATCTCTAATTGCAATTGAATACACACAAAAAATGCATTTAATTATTTGCGGTGTTCGACCTAAAGAATTGACTGGCACACCATGAAAATAGGATTTTTTTTTATGATCCATTGCATGATTTCTGTTGGTTTAACGCAAACTGTACCCCAATAGATCAATTTTGCATGTTTAAGCATATAAATTTTGAATGTTTTGCTATTTTAGATACATAACAAACCCACATAAATTTGTAAGCAATATCCATGCGATATTCAAAATATTCAAATGATATTTCATTAAGCAAAATTTACATGTCGTTTGCATGGGCTTGGATTTAGCGGGATATAGGCGGATTTCGAACTCACCTCTTGTTTGGTGATATAGATGGGTTTATTAACTATGATCCAGACGGTGCTCTCCCAGCAGCCGGGATGGGTTGTGGAGCCCTCGTAGGTGATGTAGTGATCCGTGTTTGGCAGCAGCGACCTCACCGATATGTGCCGGATGGGCGTCGAGAAGCCTGTTGGAAGGAAGGAGCAGGATGGATCGGTTCTGTGATTGCATAAAACATGAGAAACGCAAAGTTCAAGGTGCAGCCGAAAAGGAAGGACTGGGCTGGTGTAGAGAAAAGTTGAGCTATTTATGCGCATATCGCAAAAAAATATGAAAACACGTCTTCAACTTCGGCATGCCAAAGTCGAATGAATAATTCAGACACGGGCACCCACCAACACTTGCAACATCCTGGCTCAGTCCCGACCCAATCTTCACCCAGTCCACGACCTATTCCCGACCCATTCTCGAGCTAATCCGACTCGCCCTGACCCCACATGACCACTTCAACGTCAGCGCACGGCTTTATTCATACAAATCATTTTGCCAGCCGGAAATGAAGCAAGTCGCGGCTTGTAAGGCCGCAATGTAGCACAACTCAATGTCTGGCAGTCGCCGAGGTGGAGTCGGTGTCGGTGTCGGTGTCGAATGGGTACGAGTGTGGGTGGTGTGGGTATTTGCATCAGAAGTGTTAGTTTTACTTTCCCTTGAGCATATACGAGTACTGGGGCTGCACGGTAGATGTGCTGGGTGCCGTTTGGAAAGTAGCATACCGAATTGTATGAGGCGATTATGTGCGAGGAGATTGATTGAAATTTTCTGGAAAACGATTTCAAAAGAAACTTTCTTTCAAAATGTATTTGCATTCTCTTTCTTACGTGTCTATTCATAAGTATCTAAATGATTGCCCGTCAATGTAGCTCTGCTTATATCCTTGTCTAGGTGTATAGCTTTTTAATAGCCCTTCTAAAATGGACATCAATATTTCTCTTTTCATCTATATATCTTTGCTTTGTTCCTTTTCAGTGAATATAAATGAATACGTTGCCTATCTTTTAATCTATACCACTATTGGTCACTGCTATATCCCGTCTTTCCGCCAGTTAATGTTGGAACTATCTATCCATATGTATGCTTTTACCTATCTGTATCTTTTCCCTACCATTTCTTTCATCCACCTTCTTCTTTCAGTGCCATAGAGTGTCTACAATTTGTTCAACCTTCAACTATGCAGCAAGCAATTTCTTGTGGATTTCTTCTGGAGCTGCTGTTTCTGTTGTTGTTGTTGGAGAGTGGCCTGGCATATTTCTTGGTTTTGGTTGCTGCTTGGCTTCTCTGGCATTTTACAAATTAAGGCTGGGGCTGGACTGCCATAAAGTTGTACGACCTGTAAAAAGGCTATTAAACTGGCCAAGAAACTGCCAACGAGACGTGCAATGAAGTTGTGGGTCCGTCCAGCCGGTAAGGGGAATTATTAAGTGTCGGTTTAGTGTAATTCGAGGTTTCATTTTCGTCACTTTGTGCAGGGCAGTCTCAATTTCGTACCCCCGCCAGGAGTCATTTTTTATGGCTCGCCTGGACATAATTATGGCCTCGACTGCAGTTGTTGTTGCAATGACATCATAAAAGGGGCAGGGCAGGTCAGGGAAGGAGAATGGTATTCGCAAAAGAGAGGAAGAGGCAGAGAGAGCAGAAAGGGAAGCCAGCGGCAGAGCATTGCAACGATATTAACGTTGCAACATTTCCGGGGGCTTTTTGCGTGAACGGAAATGAAGGCAAGGAAAAGGTTATGCAAGGTAATGTAAGCTAGAGATGGCAAACATCACGATATTTATTTACCGACCAGATATCTAGTGCAATATTATGTGAAAAATGTCCATAAAATGGACCAGACAAATATATATGTATGTATGTATCCGTTGACATATTTAATTGCATGCTTTATTATCAATATGTCATATGATATCCGGTTTTTATATCGATGAGTAGGTGGACCAAGCTTAAGTGAGAGTATTGCCATATCTAAACTAGGGTGAGCTATTAAGTTTTAGTGGTTTTAGTTCTGTCTGCCTATCGCATGAAGTTGGCAGAACCAAAATCAAAGTAAGGCGCGTACAAATTATTGCTGAGGGAACAGGAGCAAATATACATATAAACCTTAAAAAAAATACTTTAAGTCACAAACTCTGAGCTATTTAGTTAGGTCAACTATCGATAGGTAACTCTACTTAGTGTAGGTAGCCAGTCAGTGGCACACTCACCACGATAGAGCACCTTGTTGAAGGTGCTCGTGATGATGCGAAGTTCCGGATTGGGCGTCTCACCAATCTGCACCATAAGCGACAGTCCCACAATACCCTGCGATTTATGCTGGGCCTCGGACATGTTGTGGTATAGCTCCTTGTTGAAGCCATAGATTTGAATCTGCAAGGAAAACGACAGAATAATTCGTGGTGGTCCCTCTGTATCTGTATCTAAGCCAGAAACTCACCTCGCCGGGAAAACTGTAGCCTTGGATGAAGTGCTCGGAGCCGCGAGTGTTATCCACGCCGTAATGGATGTAGATCTCCTCGAACTGATAGCGATAGGCCAGAGGGCCGCCGGATATGTTCACATGCTGCTTGGTGTCCTTGTCGACGCGAAAGACGAGCGACTGGCCCGTATTGTGCAGAGTGCCAGAAACCTGTTGACCGATTTAAGGCTGGTGAGAATGCCCAATATGGGAAATATGCATATGACATGCATATATACACACCTTGTGCTTGTCGATGTGGAGCGGTCGGAGGTAGGGATCGAACAGCAGCTTGTCAGGCACCACATCGATGGGCGATTGGCGCCGTCCTTTGTTGCACATATTCCACTGTGGATTGATAAGGCCCCAGAAGCTTGGTCCTGCCAGACGAATCAACGAATGAGAGTCGTGTGCGACACACACAGATACACAAAGGAGTACAGTATGCATCAGCTATTGTCCCTACACCCAGTCGCCCTCTTTCGATCCACTCTTTTCTGTCAATCGACCAAATGGAAAACGTGTCTTCGCCTCCTTCCCAATGCAAACACTAGCGGCCGTGGCAGTGGCAGTGGCAGCTCCAACAGCAACGTCGATGACAATTTCAAATGCCAAATGAAATTTCATAAGCTTCGAGGATGAAACTCCCATTCTGCACCGCCTCCCAATGCACCTACTGCAGCCCATTTTAAATGGCAATTAAATGCACTGACATTGGGTGCGGGTTTTCCGGGGTGTTCCCAAAAGTTCAATGCCTGATGTGATATGACGGGCTAAAAGCTGTCGAAACTTTTCAAAACAATGCTCGGTTTTTGGGAGAACCATCACCATGGTCAGCGGGTAGCCCAGTAGGTGTGGCAGGGGATGGCAGTGGATGGTAGTGGTGGTCTATGGGAATTAGACCTTTGTGCCTCATAGAAAATTTAATATTTTTCGCCTATACCAGGCGAACACCACACAAATAAATTGAAGCAAACAAATGGTGCGGGAGCAGTGGCTGGTAGTCGACTAGTTGCCTATTCTATCTCTTTAGATATCAACGATTAAAAATAGTATTGGTAGGAATAGCCGAACAGAATTTCATGGAATATTCATAATTAATTGGAAGACTTTTTTGAAAGCCGTGGAAAATCTTTAAGGATAGATAAATATACTATTACATATATTACAATATACTAGTACATATATTTCGCTTTAGTTAAGTGAGATATACGGGCCTGGCAGCCGCTTCAACCCAACCTAACCTAGTCTAAGTGAGATATAAGGGAGATATCTGATTTGAGTTTAATTTCCTGAAAAGGAGAATCTTCAAACAAAAATATCTGACTTAGATTCTAAGCGAGACTTTTTGTGAAATATGATTGGTGATCATTTTCTTTCAGAATCAGAATGTCCTAGAGTTGAGTGTAATGGTGTGTCCTTGATCGTTATTAAGCTAATGGAACCCATCCGAGTTTTTGGGGACAGCATTTGATGGGCATTCAGGATGTGAATTTCGTTCACTGCAATTCGGTTTCGAGGTTTTCGATCCCTGTGTAGCTGTGTGCGTGCGTGCGTGTGTGTGGGTGTATCAGTATCTGTGTGAGCCAGTCCGCGCGTGGCTTTGTTATTGTGTGTGTTTCTGCTTGGATGACACGCGGCACACGATGCCCGAGCGATGGAGGCAATAAATGCCAAAGTTTAAAAAGTGTTTCACGATGATGCAGTTGACCCACCCCCTGACACCGCACCAGACATACCCCTAGGTCTCTGCCACCCCGCACTTGTCGCTTTTGTGGCCTGTCCCGGCCGCTGTTCATTTTGTTATTTTGCATTCATTTGTTGCTGATGCTCCTGCTCCTGCTTCTGTTGCTGTTGCAGTTGCATGTTGCCTGGTTCTCTCTTTTTTTGCTGCTGTTGATGTTGCATAAATAAAACTGCAACTGAGGTCCTGCCAGGGTGCAGGTTCGTAGAGCATTCGTGAGTGGGCAGACCATTCAGACAGTGACATGCAACAATTACAACTGCAACAACATCCTGCACTCATCTGATCTGGGCTGTTTGCTTGCCTGCGTTTCTTTTATTTTCCTGACGAACGATTTGAAATGTAATTAAATCAGCCGCAAGCCCCGGTCGCATTGCTGGAGAAAGGGGATGTAGACACGCTTTGAAAGAATTGCCGATTTATGTATGCAAACAAAGCATACGAGTATTCCCAATATTGCAATAGATCTTATTTGGAGTCGAAACGATCTGCGCTTTGATATTATGCTGGATTTGGATGTATTTTTATGGTCAAACTTCCAGCAGAGCCATGAGACATTATTTCCCCAAATAGCTCCCATCAAATCCGAATTAATATGCGACTTTACTTACCGGATATACCATCGTATGTCCACCATTCCTCCCAACTGGATAGAACCTCTGAAAGAAAGAAGTGAAAATTTTGGTGAGACAACATGTAAGGTGAATCGTGAATCTTACAGATACATGAAACCCATCCCGAAACAAAATCCTGAACCCTGAATCCTGCAAGAATTCGCAAGGATTTGACACACTTGAAGGGAGACCGATCTCCCACGTTGCCACATGCACAAGTCCAGGGCTTAGTGCCTGCAACGACCAGAGGAGCTTGAAATCCATTCCATTTCACCTCGATGCGATAGCGTCGTATGGGGAACCACCCGCTGGCAGCTAAAGCTCGGTTTTCCAATGCGCATAATTCGCTGCCAATGTAAACAGCGCATGAAATCAACTAATGTAAGACTTCCCCTGACTCCCGATCCCGCTCTCGGTCCCACTTCCACTTGGAACCAGACTGAGAGTCACCGGGTCCGCGACCGAATCGGAGCCAGAGACAGAGCCGGAGTCAGACAAAACAAACAAGCAGCTTCTTCTTGGGGGGTAAACGATGACTTTAGTTGCCAGCCATCGAGACGCCATCGGTCTGGGTCCTGCTCCTTCTGCTGGCTTCCAATGCGTGTCGCATGACTCACAACGGGCCAAAGCAGGCAAAAAAAAAAAAAACAAGAAGCGCTGAATGAGCTGGGAGGAAGGAGTGCACGAAGGATGAGCTGGGAAGGAGGATGCTGCCACGGAGAAGGATGAGCATGACAACAGCGTTGTCGCCAGGCAGTCTGGCGCCAATAAAGTTTACACTCAGTTGCCACATTTCGTTTATGGGCAAGTTCTGCTTCCGCTTTATCAAGCGACAGACAATTTTCGCTATTTTTTTCGACTCTCTTCTCCCGTCGCCTTGTCCCCCTTTGAGCAGTTTGAGCGTATTCAAAATTTATGCTATATGCGTCGTGGCGGGGGCTTTTCGGTGTGTGGGGAAGAGGGCTGCGAGTTGGCGGACGGTTGGGGGCTGGGCTATGGGTTGGCAATAAAGCCCAAAGAAATTGCTGCAACCCAAAGCGGAAGTTCAAAAGGGAGTCGCTGGAACCGTTGCCCGCTTCCTGCCTGCTACCAGCAGCAACATCATCCAGCTTCCCTAACTTTGGAGCATTGCGACATTGACAGAGATGGTGTCGTCATCTCGTAAGGGATCTCTAATTTGAGTTTTTTTTTTTTTGCCGGTTAAACTTGGTTAAACTTTTATGGAATCTTGGGAAAGAGCACTAGGAAAATTCTTTGGCTAATATGAAAGGTTTTATTCTTTGGGGGCAGAGCTGTGATCAGCGTTGTAGAATATTTCATTTCTGTTGCTGCAGATAAGATTTTCTTCCATAAATATTTGATATGTATATGAAAATACTTGATCTGTGATAGAAGGGAATGTAGAATATTCTGTGAGTCGTTCCAATATTTTTTGTAGAAAGTGTGTCTGGAAATCGTTGCCGGGACTCCGGTCTGACCGAACCTTTGTCTCTGTTGGCTTCTCCTGAATTCCTTTTCGGTTTGTCGTGTTGCTTTTCTTGGCAGAACAATGAACGTCCGTTTTTGCGAGTCGCGACTCGGCGACGTCACTTCATTTTGTTTGTTTGTCGCTCTACGGCTCTACGGCTCTACGCCGTTCTTCTTGTTGCTGTTATTATAGTCTGCTTAGTGCTGCAAAGTATGCTATTAAATTGGCCTCCGACCGAGTTGATTCCCAGAAGAAAAGCAGCCGACAAAAAGAAGCGCCTGAGTCAGCATTCCAACCAGATTATACGCTCTAATCGGTATAAAAGTAAAAGATTGCCTGCCAGATCTCAAAAATGAGAATAAAAATGACCCACAGCTAATGCTGATCTGGAATATACGATCTGGAATATATATATCTCGTATATGCGTGCGATATCTTTAGGCGATGAAATCCACTTCGTTCTTCTTCTCCCTGGTACATGTTTATGCTGGAACACTGTTTACCCTCGCACCCTTGACGTACCATGAGTGCATGTTTACCGTAGGAATTGGGGGAGATTTTTTGGGGCCTTGTCGAATGGTTCTGGTTTTGGTTGAAGTTTAAGCTTTTCATCAACACATTGCCCACCGCCTCCTCTTTTCTTTTACCAGAAATGGTAAATTCGTATTTATGCTGCAACAGCAACTTAATTTATGGTTAAAACAGTTTTATTTCCATTTTCCCTCCCTCGAACACACAAAATTTCGATATTCGCAATAGAAAAAAGGAAGCGGGGCTAGAGAATGGTGCAGGGAACGCTGAGTGGTTGGGGCATTGGACACGACAGTCAGTCTGTCGCCACAGTTGTGTTTTGACCAATGGTTTATGGGTTTGTGTTGGCCATTCAAATGGAATCTGGCTTTAGCCTCTCCCGAGCCCCTTTCTACCCCATCTCTGTCTCTTCTGTAAGCCTCTTCCCTCCCTGTCTATGTGTCTATCCGAGTCTGTCGATTCCCTCGGCCCCGCCAGCATGTGGCACACTAGGCCTTTGTGCCACTACTAGCTTTAGTTGCTTTAATTCTTGGCAAAAGCTGTTTATTAATTGCAGTTGCCAAAAACCGATAGGGATTGGAAAATATCTGTGTTTAGACCAGTTCGGCTGACTGTCGGTCTAATGAAGTGCTTTGAAAGAAGGGAATCCTCCAGAGAGCAGCCGATTTTGGCGTCCCTATTCGGATTGAAAGGTCATATTTGTACGGAGAGGGTTTTTCTGTTCCTTTTGTAGTTAAATCTTTCGTTAAATCGGGGTAGTTCAAGTGTAAGAGTATCCAAAGAGACGGAAGTTCTTGCCCTATTTTAGCCTTTTTCACCCCAAATTATTGCCTTTTAGTGACTTTAGCTATTGTAATATTGTAATTATAATTTGTAGATCGTTTCAATTCTACTTTCTTATCGATAACAAGCGCGTTTAGATGACTAAATTAAGTCAGATTTCCCCATCCATGGGCATTTCGACTCTCGTGTTTGGCTGTTTGTAATTATGGTGAGCGTTAAATCAGAATCAAGTGAGGCCCCCAGGGAGAGGGGTGCGTGGCGGGGTCCCAGCCTTCTGTTTGTTCTGGCTCTGCCCCTGCGGCCTGGCCCTGCCCCTGACCCTGCTCTGGTTGCGGCCCAGTTGGCGTGCTTGAAAATGGCGTAAAGATGGAATGTTTGGCTATCAAAAACGCAGACGACAAGGGGGAGTTCCCGAATGCTATAGACCAAGTCACGCACACACGCAATGCCTCAGTGTGTGAGTGTAGTATATCTGTGTGTGTCGTGTGCTGGGCTCATCAAAAGGAAAACACGCCCCAGCAACATTTCAATGTCTAAATGAATTAAAGAAGCCAAACAAAAGGCCACAGCCGAAAGCAGCTAAAAGCAAACGATGCCAAGACAATGATGGGCCAATAGAGACATCGAGAGGGTGGGTGCGGGGGTCACGGGATAGCCCTTTTATGTGTAAATTATGGGTTCAATATAATATTGACAATGAATCAATAAAGGAAATGTCCTTAAAATTAATAGGCGACATTTTGATATAGAATTACTCGCTATGTCATCGCTTTTAATTAAAATTTCTAGACAAGGGCGCGACACACACACTCACACACACACACACACACACACACTCACACACGTCTACTTGTGCATTGGCATATCCTGGGTAAATTTATTGCTTCCTGTTAAGCGCCCAACGAAGCGCTGATTAGTATCTGAAGCGCTGCTGCTTCAGTTTATCAAACTGTCGCCTTGGCAGCCCCGAAGATTGACGAGCATAACTCTGGTCTGGCCCCAAACCGAAACCAAAACCCAATCCGCCTCCCTGCCTCCCGACCATGCTTCATCGGGCACTGCTTCTGGCACCCCATGCTTCATATCCTCGCTATCCTCCCAACGCTTCATTGTTCCCCAAAGTTTCCATTGGTTTCAATGGCAAACAAACATTCAATCAGAATGTTCATTAGTTGCTTCAATTTTTAACATGGTTTGGGAGCTCGATTGGAAAACTTACAAAGAGTCCAGCGGCGGTTTGGTGGAAAACTGATTAACTGGATGAAATACTGCACGGGTGAAAGGGAGAATAAAGCAAAAGTGAATAGCTAACAATGAGGAATGAGGTTTATTTGAAATTTTAGCTATGTACCATCGATCGACACACACTTCTCCAACTCTGAGATTTGTCAAGATATTACCCTTCCTTCTTCCTAGGATGTCCAAAGGATTTTTGCTTTCTGGCATCATTAAACCGACGATATACTCGTACAATTGAAACTTTACCCAAACAATTCTCAGTTATTAGTTAAACAAGTTGCAAAGTTTTCCGAAAAGAGTTTTCTTTTGAGGATTGAAAAACATATTAGAACATTCTTGTCTGCAATTTACATTTGCTTTCCCCCTCCGTCTGCCACTCCCTCTCCCTCAGAAACAATTCACACTTAATCGTCGAGCAAATTAACCAGCGGCACCGACAGAACAGAAACAATTTCCACGCCATTAGATGATTTTTCTAAATAGTTGCGAAAACTTTTGCCATCTCTACCCGCAAAGGAATGCCGCATATTTTTTCTTGTTGTTTGTTTGGGAAATACTTTTGTGTTTTTTTACTTTGGAACCCCAAAAAAAGGAAAATTCCGATTTCATCTTTTGGAGTAAATTAAAAATGGGTCAGCCAGGGCCAGCGATCCAGCGAGAGAGAGAAAGATTACAAAGTGGAGGGAAATAAACGTTCAACTCACGCGATGAGTTAACAGCCAAAGTTGATGTTGGTCTGTGGCCCGATTTCGGGCTATGGTCTGGTCTGGCTAGCGCGCTTAAATTCCTCTGAAAGCAATGATTGAAAAGCCCCGAAAATGCACATTGTATTAAAGATATCCGCTGTCCAGACAGGGTACCAGAACTTTGAAAGGAAGGCTGTCTTGGGGAAGCTTGGGGAGAAGGAAAGCCATTATGCTTTTGTGGGTCAGCTTTGGTATGTTTTTATTTGTAAACTATTGGTGGCACTGATTTAGACTTTGGATTTTCAGAAAGGTGGGTGTCGACACTGCTGTCGATTGATTGGACGATTCCATACGCTCTCTGCGTATCCTGGCCAAACTTAAATTTCCCGACTTCTAATTGTGAACATATTACGCTAAAGCCCATGTTCAGGAAACGAGCTAGAGACTGGACTTACGGATGGAAGGGGGGTCCGGACTTAAGCCAAATAGAACGCTTGAAAACCATAATTTGACTAAAAACCGTCTAGACATTTGCCGCTTGCCGCTTGCCGCTTGCCACTATCCAACTATCTTAATTTGTTGGTGCCAACAAACTTTTGCCCACCAATACCAGCAGTTGCACCACCTCCACCTTCGACTCTGGCACTAGCACCAGCAGCACCACCAGCCCACAGGAAAACCCAAAGAAATGCAGAAAAAGAAGGCGAAGTAGCAGGCCAAAGTCGAGGCTCAAGAGGAAGTTGCGGCCGTCGCTGCCTGGCATATACAATTTCGATAATAAGCAACAGTGCATACTCCCTTGGTGCTCTCTGCCCCCCCTCGGCCACCCATTTGGAGTGGGCGTGGCATGACACAAGCACACGTGTGCAGTTTGGGGGGCAAGGCAAGGGGTACTAATGCGAGTCACGTCAACGCTGCATACGAAATCGTTTTTTGAAAACGTTCCACCAGTTTTGGCCAACTTCATCTATCTTTGAACGGTTCCTCAATTAGTGGCATTGGCCTTAAAAACGAGGCAGTACCAGTTGTGGCAAGCGGGAGGCGACTTTAAGTGCCACTCTGGCAACAGTCGCAGCCATCATAATCATCATCATCATCGTGATGATCGACATCATCATCATCATCAGAAGCGATGTGGTCATTTTATTCATCTTCATTCGATGGCCCTGCGGCTGACATATGTATGTATTGGCGTTTGTAATATGACAGACAAAAGTACAATCAGCTAAGCACTTACTTAGGGCGAATGAGAGGGAGAGTATTCCAGCCAGAAAATGGGAAGGAACGAAAGAAAAAGGGAGGGAGAAACGAACAGTGGGTGAAATTACCAATCTAGTGGGTAAGGTATTAATGATTGTTAAACAAAATTTGTTTAGTATAGTTTTTAGATGAAGTCACAGTGCAGACCATGACATTCCATTAAAGTTGCAGCCATAAGCAAAAGATTTTAATTATTTAAATTCACAATAAACGAAACTAACAGATTATGTGAGAGGGCCTTCCGTCATGTATTGTTACTCCACGAAAGTCGAGTCACCGCAAGCCGCAATCTAATAATAAGAACTATTCAATAGTACACAACTCAGGTAAGACATATAACACTTTTTACTGCAAACATATGACTTCCACTTAAAAATCTGCGTGACTGAAAGAGCCCGTGGAAAACTGCAATAAACCTACTGTTCTAAACTGTTCCAGTTTTAAAACTAAAAATACAAAGCAAGCGAAAACTCCTGGAGGAATTCTAAATGGATAACCAAACAAAATGAAACTCCACATTTCACAAATGGTGTTTTTTCCTGCTGGACTTGGTCATTTCACCCACTGTGAGATGGTGGAAAAAAACGATGCCATGTCAAAGTGATTTTTCACCTCAAGGGCAAATTTAACACAATAATTTGCACAATTTGTCAAAACAACCCTCTGGCTAAATGGTATCATAAACCACACACACAGTCCTCACACACACACACACACACACACACAATAACACTGCGTAGCCCATATTTTGACCCTGTCTGTCTGTCTGTCTGTCTGGCTGTCTCGGTGTATGTATGAGAGTGTGAGAGTTGATTGTCCTGCATGCAGTTCTCCTTTGGCTTTGGCTCTTTTTTGTAACGCCCCACAGAATGCTTTCCGTTTTTTCCCCCCCTATTTCACTCTATATTTTTAATGGTTTTTTTCTGGTTGGCTTTCCAGGGAAAAAGAAAATGCTCTTTGGATTATTATTAGGCTATTGTTAGCTGTAAACATTTGTACGATTTATTTGGTTAGATTAAAGTAACCTTTTTTTTTAAAGGTTTTGAGAGAGTGGGAGAGGTAGCGAGGTAGAAAAAGGGATTTTAAAGTTCTATGGGAAGGATGATCAGACCAGTTTTTCTAATGACAAGACTTTTCATTCTTTCATCACAGAACTTTCAATGAAAGTTAACGAATTGATCCCAACCCCTCGTTAGAGTATAAAGGTGTGGGAAATGGTTTTGTAGAACCAAAGAATATATATTTTGCAAGGATACCTTTTGCGATGCTGATGTTCAGCAGGGGTATGTCGTTCTTTTGCATCTAAAAATAAAAGTTCGATTCGAATGTCCCTCAAAAGAGACGAATTATCCAAATTTTTAACACTCAAGCTTGACAAAATATATGCATGACAATATATACTCCTAAATGTTTTAGTTGCCTAGGCTAAGCATTATACTTGCCATATAATCTCCAATATTTAGAAATTTGATTGATTCAATGATTTAATAATGTTTTATGTGGGATTTAGGGCTGATCCCACTTTGCAACAAGTTTGTGTGCTCAAACTGCACTCTGAGCTGCCGAAAGAGAATTCGATATTCCCTCATGTGCAGAGTATACTTTCACGTTTTCATATGTACGCCTGGAAATGGTTTGTCGCCATTTCTCTCACACCTTTCTTCCTCTCTACTCCCCTCTGTGAATCACCTCTCGAACCATGTCACCCCCAAGTCGTTTCAGTCATTTTGCAGTTTTTGCACTTTGCAGTTTATGCAATTTCAGTTGATGCCGTAGTCGTGGTCGTTGCTATACCCTTGCAAAAGGGTATTACTTGCCAAGCCTCCATCAGGATTATATTTCACTTTTCCATCAGTGTACTTCTCAGTTTTGCTGCATTTTTTCCGGGCGATCTTTAGGTCGAAGCCTCCAAGATCGGATCACTTGATCATATATCTTGTGATTGAGACATTTTATTATCCATCGTACATTGATCGATCTGTAAGGGTATCACAAGGTTCGGCCATGAAGACAGTTTTTCTTCTGGTTATCGTTGTCGTTGTTGTCTGACCGCACTGCAATTGTTGTTGTTTGTATTTCGCTTATTTTTATTTGCACTTGTTTATGCTGCAATTTTTATAATAAACGGCACTGCACCCTGCGCACCCGCACGAAAGACCACCTACCTGCTACCTACTACACACTATCCTGGCGAACCGATCTGTCTGCGGTTTTTCCCACTAATGTCGCTCAGTGTGTACAAATATTATGAATATACATATATATATATTCGCACGCATATGAGTTTTTATACATGTATGCAGGAGTATGTCAACCGTAAAGATTCATTGTGATGCCGCACACACAATAGGAATCGAATTCTATGCATTGGCAAATTCCAAGTGTTAAATCAACGTGATGAACAAAAGTTATTGAGTATTTGTTTATATTATTTGTGTTCCTTCCACTTTTATTTATACCCCTTGCTGATTTTTATGTTTATTTGTAATTCCTGCAAGAATATGTGCTCGTGAATGCCCTGAAAATCCTCTCGACTGGAGCATAATCATAGACGGAAACGCTTGCCGAAGTTTTCTGGGGATTATATGCGGATTGGTGGACTCTGTGCGAGCAGATCATCTGCAGCACATACATATGTCAATGGCTTTGAAGTGGAGCTCTTAAAGCAGGTGGCAGGGGCAGATGTATGTTGAAATCATGATTTTTAAGGAAAGATTTGCATCACTGTAGATGCAGTAGATAATTGACTCTTGTACGAGCATGTAGCAGCTGTATACTTTAACTGTTTACGCGTACGGAATCTTTCTTTACTTTACTCAAGTTTATTTCATTCCAATAATCTTTTACGCATTTCCTATGGAATCTTCTGATAGATATGATTGAAATGACAAAGTCTTCCCATGAATTGAATGGAAGGAGCGCCTGAAAAGTTTTTGGACTGTTTGATATTGCAGTCCGGGCTCTTGGAGACCGTTGAGGTTGAGCTACTTGAGCGTTAATTTGTTTTCCCTTGCAACCTTTCCAGCTCCCGCTGGGATCTAAGCTCTTTTCCCACATTTTTGTGCAAATACATTTATGTTTTCCCTGCTTTTGGGTGTGGATGGAAACAAAATGCATTAACTCAACTGAAGTTGTCCGAGCACATCCTGCGACGTCTATTTGTCCTTTTGTCCCAACCTTTGCCAGTGTTTTCTCTGTCTCCCCTTCCATTCCCGTTTCTCTGCCACTATATGCACTGTATGTGTGGCAAGTGTCGGTGCGTTTTTGTTGCGGTTTGTCTCCATGTGGGGATATGTCCATGTCCCTGTCTATGGTGCCTGCCAAAATCCTTTTAAACTTGCCTCGCAAAACATTTTACATTCGATGACGTTTTCATTGCAAGATGCAACGTCAACAATAAACACACACAGAATCAGAGCCAGAATGAGGACCAGAAGCTGGTCCAGAACCTTGAGCAGGGCTAGCACCAGAGGAAGGGCCAAAACCAGAAGCAGATACCCAACCCAAGAAGCACTGTCGAAATCAGATTCAGTCACAGAGAACGATACACAGAGAAAAAATGCAATGGACTACTTCGAGAGAAAAGTCCACTTAATATACATAGGTACTTTCACATAATATTACAATATCCATTGAATATGTGGCGAAATTTTGGCGAATATTTAAAGTGGACAGTCCAGATTGTAACTTTCGGGATCTGAAGTAGATAATTTTTTTTGCGAGTGTAGGAGGTGAAAGGGCGGAACTAAAATCAAATTTGGAATCAGGGAATCCTTCACCCATCCCAAACAGACACAAAAAAGAATGGAAAAAAGAGACTGAAATAAGAAAGGAGCGCTACAACTTCATTGCATCTGTTTGACTGCCCGAATCGAATGAGTGAGCGAGTGAATGAATGAATGAATGAATGGAGGAACGAAATGTATGGCTTGCTTCGTTACATTTCCCTTTTGGCCATGGTCAGCTCATTGTTGTCGTTGTCGTTGTCGTTGCCACTGCCATTGCCGTTTGCTTTTGCTTTTGGGCATATTTCACTTACCGGAACTACAAAGCAGAACGATTGCTGAGCAAGCGATAAATCCTGCTGAGGAGAAGCAAAATGTGTGCCCGGGCGACGGCATCTCTGTGGATTGCTGGGACTTGCAGCCGGAGGTCGAGGAGCTTCTGGATGAAAGCTGCAAGCTGCAGGCTGCTGGCTGGTGGCTGGTGGGTTGGATTGCGCACGATTCTAGAGTTCTGGAGATCTGGCACTTGAGTCTATTGCTGGGCGGGCGGCTTAGAGCGGCGAGTCGCTTTTGGTTTCGGTCTCGGTCTCGGTTTCTGTTTCTTTGGGCCAGCTGCTTGGGTCTGGGGGCGGCAGCATCATCATTGGCCTCATTGTCATTGACTGTTTGGGGCACCGGGCCGCAGTCACGGCCACTGACTCTGGCTGTGCCTCCGCCTCTGCTGACTGCACTGGGCCACCTCTTTGCATATGCAAATTTTAATTTCCGCTGCTTTCTTTGATGTGCACACAAGTTGCATGCTTCATTTCCGTCTTTCTTCTCAACTTCTAACTCTCTATCTCTCTCTATGTCTGTCTCTCACTCTCCCTCTATTGCACTCTTTCTGGCTATCTTTGTTCTTTTGGCTTTCTTCACACACACTCGAAAAAAATTCGTTATGGAGAAACTGGAGCTGGGAACACTCCTTACAAAACAGGTTGAAATTTCAGTTTCAGTTTCGCTTTCGCTTCCGCTTGGGGTTTCGCGCTTTCAAAAGCACGTTTGGCCACACTGCACTGTCGCTTGGCCGACCAGACGCGTCCGTTTATCTCTGAATCCGAGTTGAAACTGAATTGTCACTGCTATCAGCGCCAAAGGATATGCAACGGACTGTCGGCAGGCGCGCAGCAGCAGCAGCAACGGCAACGGCGGCAGCAGTGGCAGCGGCGGCAACAAGAACAACCACAGCCGCAGCAGCGCTCACAGCGTCGTCGGCAGCAGCAGCTTGACTCAGCAGGACGAGCTTCGTCCTGGCACGAAGCATCCCGAGTAGAACCGAGCAGCGTGCCACTGGCATCGGCCACACGACTGACTTGCAGTCGAAATAATGGGACCACCATCAAAGTGTGGCTGCGGGGGACTTTTGTTTGGGAAATTTAAAATTTCTGAAGTGCTGGAAAGCGCTGGGAACTGAATCTGAAGAGGACAAGTACATCTTGTTAATTCTTTGTTGGTCATTTAATTATGAATTATGAAATTAATTATGACTCTTTGCTAAAGTCAAGAGCACTAATTCAAGCACAACTTCTACGGTTAGTTAACAATTTTGAATTCATTTTAAATCCACATGATAGAGGGCCTTAATAATTTTCCCAGTAATAAATTATGAAACTTAAACGATGTACTTAACCATTTAAATCCCATACAAATATAAAGTGGAAATATCTATTGGCTTTAAAATGGATTTAAAGGTTTTATATGGTCTGGGCAATGGTAGGGGTAGGGGTAATTGGCTAAATTGAGGCCTTGAACTCCATATATGTATTTTAATAAGGCCAAAACTCAGCAGATATGCCATCTCAACAGCTCTTATCAACACCCAATAATGTTGAGATTGACAGTTTGTTGTTGAAAATATCTGGACCATTTATATCAATCTATTGAAGCGATTAATCAGAGTCCGTAAAGATGCAAATAAGTTCCTTTAGGGTAAAAAGACTGTCGTGTGGGAGATCAATGGGCACACACCTCTCTGTATAATAGTTTGGGGATTATAAAGCACTTAAGCTGGTGTCAGGGGACTTCTAATTTAATATATTTGTGGAGCTAGACTTCTAATTTTCTAAATTTCGAATACCCTATTCGTACTCGTGGAACCCATTTGAATATCTTAAATATTGAGTGGCCCTAAGCTCTTCCCACTCCGGGCTATGGGCTATGGGAACTGTTCTCTATACGGCAGCCCACTCTTATACGAGAACTCTTCTACAACGAAGGAGCAGGCATCTTCGTGTGTGGGCACGAGGAACTGACGTCGCTGCCGACGCCTGCGCGACTTGGGGAGACAAATTCCGCGGATCCAACGAATTACATCGCTTCCCGTCCACTGCTGCTCCGACTGCCACTGCCTCGTGCTGTGTCTTGCTGCTGTTCCTGCCGCCAGCTGTCTTGCTGGCAATCAGCGAGAAGTTACGTGCGTTTTTTCCTTCGCGGAGCCAGATTCCCTGCTTCTTATCACGGAGGGAGTCTTCGTCCTGCTGCTGCTGCTGCTCCTGCTCCTGCTACTCGGGCTCCTCGGGCTCCTTGGTCTCGCTCGGGCGCTCCTCGTTTCTGCTTGGCAGTCAGCGTTGATATAAATTCTTATTGGCGCATTACAAATTGTCGTCTTGGCCCGTGCCCCCTTTCGCTTTTGCTCCCCATGTGGAGGGGTGTCCGTGTCCGCCTCTCTCTCTCTCTCTCTCTTTCTCTCTGTGTGGGAGTTTAGCACATAATGTAATCATCTTACATAACACAAGGCATAAACAGTTTTTCTGTTCGAAGACAACAGCAGAGTTCATCTTTTGTTTGGTCGTAATTAGATTTTCGCCTCATTTGCATACAAATGGGGAATGGAAAGCGAATCCGTGAATGGCAAATCAACCATCCTTCATCCTGCACAACACACGTGCATAAATTAGCTCCAGAACAAAAACAAAAAAATGTTAAGCCTTTGTTCAATTACGAGTGGATGGGGGGCGGGCGCACAAACGCAGAGAGAATGAATGCGAATGCGAGAAGGAATTCGGGAACGATTGAAACTGCGGCGTTACACAGTTTTCATTTTAATTTCCCTTCGCATCGCAATGTATCGCATCCCATCGATTTGGCTAATCCATAAAATCGCTTTCACCACTAATTCAATTCGAGTGTCGCGCTGCATTATTGAAAGCATTTCAATCAAAGTCAGTCAGCAGTCAGCAGTCTGCCGTCGGCGGTCGCCAGGCAGTTGGCAGTTGGCAGCTGGCAGTCTCAGGGACATGCTTCCCTCGATTCCACTCCATTCGGGGCCATTTCATTCGATTCGATCCGGCTCCCACAACGCGTTGGAAGCCAATCACTTGACATTGCAACTGAATGCGAAGGCAGCCCAGCCCGGGTCCGGGTAGGTGCCCAACTAAAAATAACAATAACTAAGAGTAATCAGAGCTCTCAATCCGGCTATGGGAATACTCTCTGTATAACTAAGAAAGTAATGGCACAATGTGTCTGACTGCCTCGACTGGTTCTGGCTCTGAGGACTGCAGCTGTCCGCTTAAGGAAAAGGTTGTGCAAGACCAAAAAGAAGATTTCAGCAGGCGTGATCGTAAGGATCGTAACAATTGAAGACAGTTTCCCCCCCAATTATTCTCTATTTAGGCTACTTTCATTGATAATCAATTCATATGACTCATATGACTACAAAATATCTTCTTAGATATTGGAAATGGGACATTTTTACTCAATTCAAAACCAATTAGAGACAAATTCTTTTGATAGTTTGACGCAGTTTGTACAAACTAAGAAAGGAAATAATCCTTTTTGCCTATACATATTTCAGATTGACAACCCATAAGTCCGATTTTTTTTAGACCTGTTGAATCGTCACTTAAATTCATCCAGCCTTTACTTTTACGAAGATACTACTAATAGATCTTTCTGTTCTTTATGGAAAAGTTAAAGAGCTAAAAGTCTTAAACTATTCAATCTACTTTGTACTGGACAGAGTGTAGGGCATCTTTCGTCATATAGTTGATGTGCAGCAGTCGGATAGTCAGGACAGGGCTGAGTGCACTGTGAATGCATTTCGGATGCTGGTGCTCATGTAATTGGCGGGCATTCGGCATTGATTAAGGCCCGCGCCAAAAAGTATGCAACACACTTTTGTATAGCCTCACACATACACACACACACACACCACACAGAGGCAAACACATTGAATCGCACTCGCAGGCAATGCAATTGAATTCGTGGCAGTTTTAATGTAATTAGTTTTTACACCTTGCAAAACCGAACGCGAGACAGACACAGACACAGAAACAGATCCGAATGTGTGTGTGTGGGTGCTGGCGGTGGGATGGATAAATAGATGGATGGAATGGAAAGGAAAATGGGAAATGGGAAATGGGAAGTGTAATGGCGATGGTGATGGTGTGCCTCAGGGTAAGGGTAATGTTCAGGGGCCATGTAAGAGTAGACACTGCGCATTTTCTAATTAAAAACGCCAATGGCAATTGCCATTGGCCTGTGACGCAGCCAGGAGTCGGTGGTACTGCTCCATCTCATCCGTGTGGACCCATTCTGGAGCCGGCTGGAACCGAGGCTAATTGGCAACAAGACAAATCGCTGTGGCAATTTGCCGAGAATTATGCGACAAGATCAATTTGGGCAACCGATTGGATGTTGGATGCTGGCCCCCAAGTCGCGAGGCAGGTTCAAGGTCTGCAATTGTTATAAATTTCTCACTTTCGCCAACCGGAGAAGGGGAGAATGGCGAAAATAATGAAACTCATAAAAGTTTTACGGCATTTTCGGTTTACGCCTTTCGCGCATTATAGCAGGCGTGGGGATGGACCTTGTGGGATGGGTATGATTTGAAATTAATATAACTAAAAGGTTTTACGGCGCCTCATTCAATCGCCCAGCTATATTGGTGTCGGACTGTGTGTGTGTGGTGTGTGTGGGAGTGTGTGTGGTTGTATCTGACGTCTGATACGTCTTGCTCCGTCCCGGTCTGTGGCCGTGTTCTCCCACTACCCACTACCCATTTCTCTATGTTTCTTTTTTGTTTTGTTTTTTTTTTTTTATTGATTTCCACTGCTTGGCTGGTTCGTTATTTTCTATATGTGTGCATAGTTTTTCTCCTTTTATTCTGCCAATAACTTCGCGGCAAAACTAGGAACTAGCGGATGCCTGCGGTGCGTTCCCTTCCGTTCCAATCGGCTCCGTTCCGTTTCAGAGGCGGAACGGTGGGAGTCGATGCGTTTAGTAGATGTGGCCTTTGACGCTTGGGTTCCCAGCGGCTGTGCATGTGTGCAAGAGTGTGCGTGAGTGTGGAGTGCACACCCATACACCCCCGTACACCCAGATGGAGTATTTGCTTTAACCCTCGGAAAAATTGAGCCAATGGAAAGTGGAAAGTGGACAGTGATGCAATCGAACCAACCTAGATGGGTGTGTAAATTAAGTAGGACCTTCAACTGCAGGCGCCTCAAAATCGTTGGAGGGGTTGACTTAGTTTGTAGTACAGAGATCTTTGGCTAATGCGGGACTCATTTACTTCGCTAAAAATAACTATTTACGGAGTCAACTAACCGAAATCACTAGATCGTTATAAGCT